GGCTGAAATCACACAAAGTCTGTTAAGTAAATGTCCTGGACATCATATTTCACCCCAAAATCAAAAGAAATAAAAAAAATGATATTTTGCTTGAAGAAAATGGAAGGGAAAATTTTTTTTTTTTTTTTGCATTTACATTCAGGACCCTTAAGATGACGTGACAGTTAAGTACATCCCCCAATTCTCATTATTTTAATGCAAAAAAATGCATGTATTATTTGAAAAAAGATAGTAAGATTGACATGGTATGATTTTTGTGCTGCCATTAACTTTAATTTTTTTAACAGTTAATTTATTTAAATATTTTAAATTACGTAAATTTAAAATAATTAAAATGTATATGTTAAAATTATTTTTAAATAATATAATTTTTAATCAAATTATTGTATTACAGTAATTCTAATACATGTTTACAATAATGCAAATTTAATGAGCGTCACCAAAGAAAAAGTAAACAGTCCAGATTTGCAGTAATTACATTGTTTTTTAAATGTTAAAAACATTTTTGGGAAAATCCTTAATTGTCGTGAAAATACACTTAAAAATATTATAACAGTGGTCCTAGAAATAGCTTTATGCAGTATATTTGACTTTCTTTTGATTTTACGATGAAATATGACCTGAACATGTTCTTGTGAAATGCTCCCAAATATATATTTTATTGTGCACAAACAGCTAATTTCATTAAGCAACTCTCAAGCCGTCATTAAAAAGTGTTATGTGATCATTAACCAACATCAGAGAACCATGATGTGATGTTAAAATATTGAAATATTAATTTAAAATCTCTCGGGGATAATTCAAATAAATATTTTAGATCAAAGGTGTTCGGCTTACAAAAAAACAAAACAAAACACTGTTTTAGATCCTGGGGTTTCAAACTCATTTATGTTAAGGACTGGATTGATTGATTGATTGATTGAGCGATTGACTGAGTTGATCAATATCTTGTATCTTGTTTTCTGGAGGTCATGAAATCCACAGTAACTTTGTTGCGCAGCATGAATAACAAAAAAAAATTAAAATTTTTTATTACATTTTTATTTTATTCACTATTGATGAGAAAAAGTAATGCTAGCTGCACTTGGCTGAATAACTTTATAGCTGTAATAAGCCATCTGAAACCGAACATTAACAGAGCTATATTAAGAAATTCTTCAGCTCATTTTAATTACAGACATAATTAAACTGTGAATTAATTCCTCCTCAGTCAAACGCTGACAGCGTTGAATAATTAATTAGTATTATATACTGTATGTATCATTTTATTAATCCATCATTCAGTTATTTCACTTAAATCAGGTTTTACAATATAATAATTGCATGTAATTTTGTTGTTTATTTTAAAGCATGTTTTTCCCAGATCAGACCCCTGTTGTTGACAGACAGTAGATTTGATGAGTAAACGCATGGACAGCTAGCGTGCCAGTTTTTCCTCTTTGCGTTGTCATATTGTGATCTGCGGCTGAACGTGAAGTCTGTTGTTCGCTCTCAAACACCCAAATCTCAGCATGAGGTGCTTTGAATTCAGTTCGGCCAGTGTGTCACCTGCTCTTAAGGTCATATCAATGATTCTTTTCGTTAATCATTTCACCTTTGTCCTTTTCTCCATCATGCCCGTGCCTGGTCCTCTCTCACTATCCTCTGTCTCCATCACCTCATCACCTCCTCGCACTGTTTAAACACATTACAATCAAGCCTCTCGGGAGGATGCCATTGGACCAAATGCATCCTGTTGCCAGGCAACTCATTTCATCTGTCTCCTGGTGTTTGAGGGTAATTACACAGAGAGGGAGAGGGAGCGTCTGTGTCTGTAGAAGCACAGTGAGATATGAGGATTCACACGAGAGCATTTGAGGTTCGAGAGAATAAATCTGCGCTCTGATGAATCGAACTCAAATTGGGCAGTCTGAGAGACAATATGGCACATAGATGGGAAACTCTGCTTAAATGTTGTAGTTATGACGTATGATGTAATCCGAGGTTATTAAGCTGACTAGCAGTTTAAACATATTGTGAAGTCATAAGCAGAAAGTCGTTATTCAGTGAACTTTGTGCCGTAGATCATCTTGAAGTGTGCACGAGGGCAGTAGGGATGTCTGATTTGATAATTAATGTATTTTGCTTGAGACTGATCAGTGATCAGCCCAACGTTCACCATCCAACAGGTGTGCAGTGACATGCTGCATGAATCTTCCTGATGGTGTTGAAAGCCCTCCTTGACCTTGACTGCAGTGTCATTGATGTGATTATTTGTTTATTTAGGGCCTATTCTAGTAAAAGCATCTTAAAACCTGAACTCATAAATAAATGCACTCGCCAGAGCCGCAGCCTCACCGGCCATTAGATCAATTAAACCAGGAAAGACAAGGTCACACTGCGAACAAATGCTGCGATTTATAAGGGCCATGTCAAACGTGTAGGCATGGGTCTTAACTACTTTACTAGTTGTCCAATAACCTGTTTTGTATTTGTTAGTTTTGATATTTTTATTATATTTATTTATTCATTTATTTATTTTATATTACATTATTTATACACACACACACACACACACACACACACATATATTACAAATTGAAAGTAACAAAACCTTGTAAAATACATTTTAATGGGCATAATTACATGTGGAAATAACCGAAGGATATACAGTCAAACCAAAAATGATTCCGAGACCAGATATAATCGGTATCGGGCGAGTACTGGAAAAAGTGGTATCGGTGCATCCCTATCAGAAATCATTCTAATATACTGATTTGCTGCTCAAGAAACATTTCTGATTATTATCAAGGTTGAAAACAGTTGCGCTGCTTCATATTTTTGTGGAAACCGTGAGACATTTTTTTCAAGATTCTTTGATGAATAGAAAGAACTAACATTTATAAATTACATTTTCATCAGTTTAATGCATCTTTGCTGAATAGAAGCACTAAAATCAGAAAAACTGCATTGCATGAAATGACAAAATGCCGGGCAGAAGATAATTAATATTTAATACATTAATGGAGAGCAGGATTTGACTTGACTCATAATTGAATCCAGTTTAGTTAACATTAGTATGTTTACACAATAAATGTTGCATTGTCCAGCTTAGATGATGTTTTCATCACAGTGCATCCTGTGATTGCATCACTTGTGAAGGATGCATGCGATACTGCATTAAAACCTGGACAGAATCTAGTATCTAGTATCCCTGAAGGCAACATAAACTTGTTTTTGCAGTGCTGAAGGGAAAAAAGGGGTTGCTGCCTGGAGTTTGGAACAGCCTTCACATTGCTTGCCTGTGATGCTTTCAGATTCTGCCAACTCGCTGGGTTTGGGAACAGATCTTGTGTTTACATACAGTATATCAATATCTTATTTTAAAAAAAGAGCAAGAAAAATAATATTTTCCATTATATGACCCCTTTAAAAAAACATGAGATTCATCTGTGTGGTTTAGTGTGCTCTTGGCAGCAGCTCTCTCCCTTCAGCACTGCAAAAACAAGTTTAAATGATTAAAACGAGACCTACCGAACTGTGAAACATCTCCCTGGTGTGTTGTACAGATTCCTCTATAATTTTTCATCATCATATTACATCACAATCTCTGTAATATCATCTCATTTAGCACTGACTGAAAGGGAACAAGCATTTGATCTTGTTTTATCATCTGATCATCAACATGAATTTGTTGATTTATTATGATCAGGTTGCTATAGGCTATATATATATATGTATGTATATATAGTTTTATTTATGGCAAAAAAAAAACAATGTAAAACTACTATCAATATAATGGTATTAAACTAAGCCAATTTGAGTCAGATATGCCAAAAAAAACATTATTGCCACCCATCTGAATAAAGCCTAATAGGTGAGTATTTAAGTGTGATGCTGTAGATTTTCCTCTGTGTCGTTTGCTGTAATGAAGCACTATTTAATGCCACAGAGCTGTGATCTCTGATGTGTCTGTCGAGCAGTGAGCCTCAGACAAGCCTGTGATGAGCCCGTAATGAGCCGCCCTTCATACTTTTTCTTTGTCCGTGCCTCGTTAACATTCCCACTCATGTGTCCTTCCTGCTGTTGACACCAAAACGAGGGTGAGACGACAGAGAGAGAGAGAGAGAGCTTGAGGACAGATTGTTCCAGAAGCACTGAGATGGCAGCAGGGGTGAGGAACATGACAGAAGTTGATGTAGAAATTAGGTAACAGCTGTAGACAAATGAAGGAAAATGTGAGGATTTCAAGAGAAGAGAAAATGTACATTGTGCAGATTACAGTTAATGTTGTTTGTTGTGTTTTTGTCATTATGGGAATGTGTTTAGAAGTAAATTAGCCAAGCAAGTTGTTCTGAATGTGCAGCAAAGCGACGTCACATGGAATCACTGCATTAGTAAACCTTTTGTGTAGTGTATGCGTGTTATCATGGGCAGCGATTAGCATTAAAGGAATAGCTCATCCAAAAATAAGAATCTGCTGAAAATCTACTCGCCCTTAGGTCAACAAAATGTAGAAAAGTTTGTTTCTTCATCGGAACAGATTTGGAGAAATGTAGCATTGCATCACTTGCTTGGCAATGGATCCTCTGCAGTGAATGTGTGCCGTCAGAATGAGAGTCCAAACAGCTGATAAAAACATCACAATAATCCACAAGTAATCCACACCACTCCAGTCCAGCAGTTAATGTCTTGTGAAGCAAAAATCTGTGTTTGTAAGAAAAAGTTGTCCCGGAATTAACTATTTCTTTCAGTTTTTATTTAAAAAACTAGTTACAGGAACTGAATATTATTTCACATTACAAAAGTTGGATGTGTTGCTAATAGGTTTGTGCCGATAGACGATAGTATCATGTATCAGTGATAGTCAGAGATATCGACAATAGCAGATGTCTTTGTCGATAGTCAAGACGATATTAGGCTCATTCTCCTATTAATGTATTAATAATACTAATAATAATAATTATTATTATTATTAGGTGGCCCATTATAATTCGGCTATTATTATCAAATTGCCCCGCTTTTTCATTCAGCACTGTATTTCACGCAGACGCACACACACACACGCGCGCAAATGAGGAGCCTGTAGCCAGTGAAGGAGTCTCCAACCACAAACACAGACGTACATCGTCTGCTGATATAAGGTATTTCGTTGCACTTAAACAAGTAATCTGAACGGCCTGTATATGTGCAATATTTTAACCGAACCCTCACTAACTAAGTTTAATGCCACAGTTATGTTAGAACGCATCTCATTCTTGTTTCTGTGGCGGTGCGTCAGGCTCATCATGGGGCGCGCGGTCCGGAGCGCTGTAGAACTGTCCGTTTAATTTAAATTTACTCCAAATATATGAACTCACCGGTTTTAAATGCTTTATATTTAGCGTGTTCGTTTATGTCCAATATTTAGTGTTAAACTGTTGGTCTTTAAAATAAATCTACTTTTGATTTTCACCGTTGACTGATTTTGCAGACCAGACTGATAACTTCCGTGCGTTAATGCGCAAACTTGGCACAGGATGCGCGGTCCTAATAGCAATGTATGACTGTTGTATCCGAATATATATGAACTAGCTGTTTTAAATATTTTGTATTTAACATGTTAGTTTATCAGTATGTTTGAAAGTATATTATTTAGGTTTGTGGTGCTTCCATAGGCTCCCTCTTTCTCGCGCGCGGTTTAAAACACCCAATAGTTGTGAAATTGCCTATGACAAGTACAGAGAGTCTCTCTCTTGCCCCCACCCACTTTGAAAAATGACCATATCGCCCAACACTAGTTGCTAATGCTAATGTTGTTTCATGTTGAGTCCTGAACATTGTGTCCATGCGTTTCAGGTACGTGAACACTCTCCTGAAGTTGGTGCCGCAGGTGTTACAGCTACAGGAACAGTTACGAGACGCCATACAGAATGGAGACATGGAAACGTCACATGGCATCTGTCGAATCATATATATATATATATATATATATATATATATATATATATATATATATATATATATATATATATATATATATATATATTGCTCAGTAATAATTGTTCTTAATTTTGCTGAACACTGATTTCAGTGGACTCTATGTGAGACCGTGTTCATGCACGAGTGTGTGGAGGGATAATTATGGCGAGATCTTCACTTTGAAAGCTTCTGGTCTCTGTGGATGGAACTCAGCTCAGGGTTATATTATATCTAAGGCAGTGTCCCAGTAGCCGACTCAAACTTGATTTTGGTCAGGCATGTTACACCTACAGGCAGTTTCTGCTGAAATCTCACTCCATTTGTCAGCATTCTGTCACACTCACAAACTAGGAATGGAAGCAGGTGTCAGACTAAATGACAACTCCTGACGTTTCTCTCAGATTCCCCGTCATGTGATGCTGACAGGAATGCACCACATTTGACGTCAACAACAAAAGATTGAAGGGTTTTCTCCTCTATTTTAAACGTTGATCAACTTATGTATTTTCAATCCTGACTATGCACAATTATACAGTCAACTGCATTTCAAAATGTAAAAAAAATTATATCAATACACATTTCAAGTGCTCGGTAAGATTTTAAAATATTTTTTTTAAAGTATCTTTTGTTAAAAAATACAGTGAAAACAGTAATATTCTAAAATATGATTACAGTTTAAAATACCTGTTTTCTACTTTTGACCATATTAATGCATCATAGCTGAATAAAATATTCATTTTTTTAAGAAAAAAACTCATAGACCTCAAATATATAATAATTTGTATATAATATTGGCTGTATATACCTTTGTTTTTTTGGGGGGTTTTTGAAAAAAGTCTCTTATGCTCATCAGTTTCTTCTCTGCGTTTCTCCTCTTCTCTAGTTTGCATCTAGTTGCCAAATAAACCTGTCATTATATTAGGACTGCACGATTATGACAAAACTCATAATTGTCGATTATTCCCTTGAAATTGTAATTGCGATGATTAATTATGATTATCACAATTTACATTGAATGATGTTTATACCATTATTTGATGCAACTGCATGCCGTATTGTTATATGAAAATAAACAAGCGGAAAACACTCTTAACTGAAAAACCTTAAGTGCTTTTCTATAGTATTAAGCCTCAAATGTCAACTATACATCGGATTGGATTTTAAAAATATGAATGGTATTATAATGTTATACTAAAACTAAAACAATGGAAAAACCCTTAAAGGTACAATATGTAAGATTTATGCACAATTATACAGTCAACTGCATTTCAAAATGTAAAAAAAATTATATCAATACACATTTCAAGTGCTCGGTAAGATTTTAAAATATTTTTTTTAAAGTATCTTTTGTTAAAAAATACAGTGAAAACAGTAATATTCTAAAATATGATTACAGTTTAAAATACCTGTTTTCTACTTTTGACCATATTAATGCATCATAGCTGAATAAAATATTTTTTTAAGAAAAAAACTCATAGACCTCAAATATATAATAATTTGTATATAATATTGGCTGTATATACCTTTGTTTTTTTGGTTTTCTTTTGAAAAAAGTCTCTTATGCTCATCAGTTTCTTCTCTGCGTTTCTCCTCTTCTCTAGTTTGCATCTAGTTGCCAAATAAACCTGTCATTATATTAGGACTGCACGATTATGACAAAACTCATAATTGTCGATTATTCCCTTGAAATTGTAATTGCGATGATTAATTATGATTATCACAATTTACATTGAATGATGTTTATACCATTATTTGATGCAACTGCATGCCGTATTGTTATATGAAAATAAACAAGCGGAAAACACTCTTAACTGAAAAACCTTAAGTGCTTTTCTATAGTATTAAGCCTCAAATGTCAACTATACATCGGATTGGATTTTAAAAATATGAATGGTATTATAATGTTATACTAAAACTAAAACAATGGAAAAACCCTTAAAGGTACAATATGTAAGATTTTTTTAATTAAAATATCCAAAAACCACTAGAACAGTGTTATATATTTTGCTGACTTGGGTACTTATATTATCCCAAATGTTTCTAAGAATGTTTAAATCCAAAGAAATAAGCAATTTTAATTAGTGACACGGAGCGTGTCCATCATGTCATTGTTTCGCCTGCCAATGACTTCATAACCCCTCGATTTCCGGTTTTGTTTTGTAGAAGACATGGAAACACCAAAGACGCTTTAATATGTTGTGCGTTTTAATAGACCGGTGATGACCGCACAGAGTAGCATTATAACAGAACTTTCAAATGTATCTAGTATGATAAAACAGCGCTGCTTTACCCCACATGCGCACGACCGGAAGGAGTGGAAGTGGTCGACTGTGGCATAATAAAAGCTCCACTGCTTTCCAGCCATGTGTCACGCTCATTCAGCGGCCTCGTTTAGCTTCGACTACTTTCAGCCTCACCCTGCTTCATACTACGACATTAATAAATCATTAGCTCATCCATGAACATGATTTCTGCCCGAGTCCCGTCAGATTGCTTCTCCCATGATTCCACACCCAGTCACGGCGTCATCAAACTACGCTTTTGCCTCTTTGTTTATTTTGAATATGCGCCCTCCTGCGGCGAAAATTACATATTGTGCCTTTAAGATAACATGTAGAAAGAAACAAACATATCTCAAGCGTGCAGAATAACATAAGTGGACTTTGAACGATTTATTGCCGCTTTGAACGATTACGTAATTGTAGCATCCATAATTGTAATTGCAATTAGAAATTAGAAATTCGATTAATTGTGCATATTAATTATGCACGATATGGTGGCCGATATATCGTGCATCCCTAATTAAAAGGTCTTAAAATGTCTTAAATAAAGTTTTCCTAATAAAGTATTAAATTGTCTTAAATTCAGATTCGGTGGGTCTTAAATATTTTTGGTTACTCTACCGCAAAAATGTCTCCAGTCTGACTCCAGTCTGACGGACCCAGTGACTGTTTACAATCATAAAATTCACGAATAACTACAGATTTTTCCCTGACCTTCTTTTCTCTGTAAATTAAGGGTGCACTGTATTGCTGAAAAACACAATCACTACTCAGCAGTCAGATGTCCATATGCACAAAAATACAGATCCCTAAACAAGATCATATCTGCAGATGAAACTTTGTTTGTAGAAGCATTTTTTAAATGTGAACTAGCACCTCATGACTACACCACGTTATGTACGAGAAGCTGCAAAAGACACAGGCGCAAGTGGAATGTACAAAACATGGTGACATTAATTCTTAAGTAAATATAATGGGCGATATATTGCATCACCAAAAATTATTGAGGTCATGTACATATATTGCGCGATAAGTCGATATATTGATTATTGCGACAGGCCTACCGGGGACCCGATTATAGCACTTGAACACGGAAAAAGTACGGTTTTCATGATATGCCCATTGGCTGGCTTAAGTCTCTTCAGTATTCATACTGGTGGTGTGAATGCAACCAGGAAAATGTCACTAAGGGAGCGTTTAGTTCTCAGGGGAACCATCCTGGTGGCTTGTTCCTCTAACTACCCGCTGCCAAAGCCCCTAAACTGTAACTGTCATCACATGTATTCTATTAGTTGAATATGTACTCTATTGTAGCAGCGTTATCACTTTCATTTGGTCTTGGTTAAAGTTCCTCAACAGGTTAAACTTCCCATTATGTGGCTATTTTGGAACTGTTGATCAATTGATGTTGATTACGTTCAGGTTCATGTGCATATTAATTCATTGTTGGTTGCATACAGCAATATTGTGGAATTAGCAGCCCGTTCTCACTGGAAAATGCAACTATTTTATTTTGCGTGAATATGTATGATGTGACAATAGACACCTTTAATAGTGACCCAGATTATATAGACCTCTTATTAGCCAGCTGTACGTATCTGCGTTGTTATACAGAGAAACCTTGCAGCTCAAGCTATAACACAGCTTTTCTTACTTTCACTGTTATGATGAAATATCTACAGGTTGTCCTAAAAAAGTCTAAAAATGTCTTCAATGGGTCTTCGATGGGGCTTAAATATTTTTGGTCACATTACCGCTAAAATGTCTCCAGTCTGACGGACCCAGTGACTGTTTACAATCATTGGACAGACCGAAGATTTGTTTTTCCCCCGCAGTCGTTCCATAAGCGCCACCTGCTGTCAGAGAGTGAATTTGCATTTTCTTTAAGTCGGTCTGCTGTTTTTGTTTTGTGCAGGTGTCTTATGTAGCATAATTTCACACATCTAAAGTCAGACCATTCTGTTTTTGCCTTAAATCTTTAAATTTTTACAATCTAATTCATATCAAAAACAACTGCTTGTGTTATGTGTGTGTATCATCTTTGTTTGGATCATGATTTCAATGCAGTGGTAGCCTCTAATTTCAAATGGCTACAGATATTTTTATTTTAAGCCAGTTTGCCTGTTATAGACCAAATAAACAACAAATAAATTTGCTTTAAGAAAAAAAAAAAATGGTGATCGGAATCTGCCAATTTGCTTGTAAAAAAATCTGAATCAGCCTTGAAAAATGTATGTAATCTAAGTTTGGTCCTAATGTCATATAAGGTGGTATTAAAAAGTTCTTAAAAAGTCTTCAAGTGTCTATCTGTAGACACCCTGATATCCCTAATAATAAATAGTCTCCAAATCTGACGTAGTCCCAGTGATTGTGTTCCTGTGTGATGAAGGTCTGTTCTCCTCTTCTCTATCAGAGCTCTGTTGGAGCAGGTGGAGCACTGGCAGAGTTTTCTGGCTCTGGTGAATATGATCATGTTCTGCACGGGCATCCCTGGTCACTACCCCGTCAACGAGACCACCAGCTCTCTCACGCTCACCTTCTGGTACACACTACAGGTGAGCAGTGCCGCTGAGATCCTAAACACATCTTAACATGCACAGTCTGTGGTCCTATGCACAGGACACTGTGAACGCAGGCATCTCAGAAACAGGCCTGAAAGGGTTGTATTGTATGTGGAGGTTTTTTGTTTGTTTATAGCAGTGATGGAGAGTCTCTGTTAGAGATATTGAACCGTCCTTCACTGTATCTGAATATACACCTGTGCTGTGTGTTAACTTCAGTGTGTCACGTTTTGAATATTCAAGAATGTCCTTTTGCTTGTGTCCTTGGGTGTGTTTCCAGTCTGCGCTAGCTGAATATTTTATGTTTTTTGCCACTAGACGGAGTACTGCAAAACTATTAGATTATGGTTTTCTTTTTCTTTTAATTTTTATATTTGTAATAGAGAAATGGAATATTAGCGATAACTTTTAGTACAAACTTACAATTAGCTCAGAGTTTGAGATATATATATGCTTTTATAGAAGACGCAAGTAAATGTGATTTCAGCTCTTTTTATTATTATATTATTTTATAAACATTTAGAATTTTAGAATATTTTTTATATTTTATAATATATATATATATATATATATATATATACAGTAGGAAGTCAACAAAAAATGCCTGGTACCAGCGCGTGTACCACCCCACCGCCAAGGCAAAGTGTCTGTTTCAGGATAGATACCTCGTTTGGTTTAATTTTTGCAATTGGCGTGATTTATACACTATTATATGCAGTGTTTCGTTTTGTTTTGCTTCATGAGAGATGCAGGAGTCCGCAAGAGAGACAAAGAAACTGGCCGAAAGAGTTGCTGAAGGAGTGCAACATTGTCACATTAATACTGAGATAAATGTATTTCTATAATCATTATAGGAAAAAATTTTGAAGCTTTTTAAAGTTATACAAAACATAATCAGCAAAACGTTTTTATTTATTTATTTTTTAAACAGCCAAATCACAGCCATGCCGATATACAGCCATATCTCACGTCTACTCGTGTGATATTGCTCATATATATATGTATATGCAAAATATATATTTTAATTTTATATAAAATAATAATAATTATTGTTGTTATGATGTTATCAAATCGACTTCTCTGCACTTTCAATCAACTTTACTCGTTTATACAGTATTTACATACTTGAACAATAAGGTATGTCATTCTTAGTGACTTACAGTTCTTGACTTTCATATATTGTACAGTTGTTACTGCTTTGAGTACACTCTTCTCACATGATAATATAAATTCAGCTCAAATCAGTATTTTATTTATTTAGCATCAGTATTTATTTATTAAGTAGGTTGCTTAACACAGGGTTTATTTTATGATAGTGACCCAGTGACAGTATTCTCCCTTACTTCAGCAGTAGTTTAGTGTGTATTTGTTGATGTTCGGCCGTGTGTTTCAGGATGACATCATGTCGTTTGAGGCAGAGAAGCAGGCCGTCTATCTGCAGGTCTACAGGCCCGTGTATTTCCAGCTCGTAGACGTTCTGCTGCACAAAGCGCAGTTCCCCACGGATGAGGAGTATGCTTCCTGGTCATCAGACGAGAAGGAGCAGTTCAGGATCTACAGGTCAGTGTGTGTGTGTGTGTGACTCAAATTCTCATGGGCCTGTTGTAACATTTTCTTCTACACTCAGCAGTTTTGTGTTGGATTTGCTGAATTGGCGCAGCCAACAAAGTTGCTGTTCTTATTAGGAAATGTAACATTAAATTAAATATTTATTATTTAATAGTGCATGGCTTTTTCGATTAATTGTCTTTGAAAATAAAACTAATAACAACACAAAGGGTTTGTGCTTTGTGTGAAGGGTTGATAATACGTTGCATTTCTGTAATGTTTGACTCTTTTAGGGTGGATATTTCCGACACACTAATGTACGTCTACGAGATGCTGGGAGCCGAATTACTCAGTAACCTGTACGACAAACTGGGGAGACTCCTCACCAACACAGAGCAAGCAACAACATGGCAGGTCAGAAAACAATGGATTTAGTCTTCAGTTTTCAGTGGTTTTGCTGTGCCATTAAACATTTGAAGCGAAAGGGCAAACCTTCTAGGCTAGGTCTGCACAATTAAAGGGGTCGTAAGATGTGATTTAAATTTTTTCTTTCTCTTTGAAGTGCTACAAGCTCTTGGTGCATAAAGAAGATCTGTAAAGTTGCAAAGACTAAAGTCTCAAATCCAAAGAGATATTCTTTATAAAAGTTAAGAGTCAACCACGCCTACCTAAAACGGCTCGTTCTAACAGGCATGTCTACGATGTGGGAAGATTTGCATAACGCCACCCAAATGTTCACGCAAAGAAAGGCGTAACTTTTATTCTCGCTGTAGTATTGTTGCCGCCGCCGCTGCCGCCATGTCGTGAAGGCACTGTGTTTTGGTGTGAAAGCGAAACTTCTTTGTTTTGCCTTCCAAAAGAGGACGATATCCGCTTCGTCATGCCTAGAGCCTAGAGCTGATCCGTGCTGGTTGCTGAGGAAATACATCAACTTCGTACTGTGGATCGCTGGATCGGCTTTCACCGTGGACTAAGCGGAGTCCAGCCCGGGGTCGTCACATGTGGTTGCCGCAAGCACGCCAGATGCTCCTTCGTCCAATCCGCCGGCCGCCGCTCACTCAAGCCCGCCGTGTGACGCTGTGTGTTTCGTTGTGAAAGCGAAACTACTTTGTTTGGCCTTCCAAAAGAGGACACGACTACAAATCAGTGGTTAAGTTGTATTTACAACACTGTTCCAGAACAGGTCAACCCAAATATTCAGATGTGTTTTATTATTTTGTACTGTTCTCAGAGGTCCACTAATAATGTTAAGATTTTTACATCAAAAGCATCATAATTCAGAAGTAATAGGCTATTTTCTGTCCTGTTTTGACCCCCTCATCAGAACGCTCTGTTTGAATAGACGTAACTGGTTGTAGACTCGGAAATAAATGCCCACCGCTATGATTGGCTAACAGTTGTGTGTGTTTGACAGCTACATCCTTCATAGATGGACGCTGCTATGATTTGGTCCAGTATAGTCGGCACAGCATCGTCTTTTAGTTTCAATCTTTCTGAAAATCCTGCGTCGGATTGTGACTTGTCTGTAAACGGATCCACAGTGAAATGAAGTGAACAAAGGACCAAGTTTTTACTGACTCAATCTGGATATTCATTAAAAATAAAGTTCATCCACTCTTTCCTAATGTTGGGATCAGAAGGAAGGCGATGCAGACTGTTTTTCCACAGCTTGGCTCTGAACAGCATCTTGTTTTCTTCGGAGCATCTTTATCGTTTGGTTTCTGCGTAAACCTGCATTTGCTGCTCTCGTTATTTACACTACATGCGTGAATCGGTGGGCGGGGCTAAACAGGCAGTGATGTAGAAGCAGGCGTTGATCATCTTCTGCGGAGGCGGGGTTTAGACACACTATTATGTCATAAAGTGACACATTCCACAACCTGTCGTTTTGGCAGATCGGCTTCAATATGTTTTACTAACTATGTTTTTATTGTACAATGACATCTTATATGTCAAAAGATCAAGGGAATTTAGATTTCTCAGTTCATGACCCCTTTAATGGTTTCCTGCAGCCTTTCACCAAAATAAAAGCTTGTTGGTTTAACATTTGGAAATGAAGAAATGAAGATTATTTAAATATTATTATAAATATTGTACTGTAAAATAATATATTTATTTAATAATGTTTCTTAAATACATGTTTTATTTTACTATGAAATATTACACACACACATGCACACCTATATATATATATACAGTGGGGGAAAAAAGTATTTAGTCAGCCACCAATTGTGCAAGTTCTCCCACTTAAAAAGATGAGAGAGGCCTGTAATTTTCATCATAGGTATACCTCAACTATGAGAGACAAAATGAGAATGCAGATTCAGTCTTCCCAGCCTGGTGCAGGTCTACAATTTTGTTTCTGGTGTCCTTTGACAGCTCTTTGGTCTTGGCCATGGTGGAGTTTGGAGTGTGACTGTTTGAGGTTGTGGACAGGTGTCTTTTATACTGATAACGAGTTCAAACAGATGCCATTAATACAGGTAACGAGTGGAGGACAGAGGAGCCTCTTAAAGAAGAAGTTACAGGTCTGTGAGAGCCAGAAATCTTGCTTGTTTGTAGGTGACCAAATACTTATTTTACCGCGGAATTTACCAATTAATTCTTTAAAAATCCTACAATGTGATTTTCTGGATTTTTTTTCTCATTTTGTCTCTCATAGTTGAGGTATACCTATGATGAAAATTACAGGCCTCTCTCATCTTTTTAAGTGGGAGAACTTGCACAATTGGTGGCTGACTAAATACTTTTTTGCCCCACTGTATATATTAAAACTAATTCTTACAATTATATTGATATATAATTGCATATAATCTCCAAATTGTGCGGCCCTAAAAACAAACTGCAAAAATTATAATTCTATATATTAATTATATAATTATATAAATTAATATATTTATATATTTGAAATTGATATTTTAATTTTAATAAAAATAATTACATTAGTAATATATAAATTATAAATTTTAAGTTGCATTTGCAATTTTTATCAGGAAACAATGCTAGTAGTTTTTTTTTACCCAAATCGTGCAGCCCTACGTGGCGCTCTTTAACAGGATTTTTTGCTTCTTTTTTTTTTTTAAGCATACGGAAGCTCTGTTGTACGGATTCCAGTCCATCGCCGAAACGATAGATGTGAACTATTCTGACGTAATCCCAGGACTCATCGGCCTCATTCCAAGAATCAACATAAACAACGTCCAGCTGGCCGACACGGTCATGTTCACAATTGGTGTGTGCTCGCATATTGGTGCTCCTGTATCATTAAAAACACTAATTTCTATGTGTTAGGAAATTTTAATTTATCATCTCAAGCAATTTAGGCTGTTTTCACATGCTTTAGTCCAGACCAGACAATTGCACACAATTACTTTCCCATGCAGATACCCAGCTTTGTGTTCCAGCTCAGATATTTACCCATTACATCTCTCCCTGTAGGAGCGTTGGCAGAGTGGTTGGCAGATCATCCGGTGATGTTGAGCAGCGTTCTTCCGCTGGTTTTGCAGGCGTTGGGCAATCCAGACCTGTCTGTTTCCAGCGTCTCCACGCTAAAGAAGATCTGCAGAGAGTGCAAATACGACCTGCCCCCATATGCCACCAATATAGTCGCTGTTTCACAGGTATTACACGCTCTAATGATGATACTGAAACTTATGGGACAAATTTACACAGTTTTTCACCTATGAAAGTCTGTCTTTTTCTCTTTTTTCAGGAAGTGCTTATTAAACAGATCCATAAGGTGAGTTTGTGTTATGAATAAACCCATTTGTTTTTGCTCAGACAAAGGCAGTTTTGTAGAGCTGTAAATGGTAGCTAATAATTTTGTTTATGAAATCATTTAAATTTAAGTCACTTTGCATAGTATCCTGATTAGGTGTTACACACACAAAAAAGTCAAATTATTTGTCTTTTCCTTTCTGTTAAATTCTAAACGAAACTAAAAGACAACCATATTTACTCTCTTAATACATGTTCATGGTCTTATTTTGCACAACTCATTAGTGCACATTATTGCAAAAAAAAACAAAAAAACACATGTTTTTAATTTCAACCGCCTCTGAACCTCACCTTTGTGATATAAAGTTTCAACTTATGCAGTCAAATCTGATTGGTCTGAAATTGAGTCCATAAAAAGTTTTTAACTCAGTATGATCCAATTTAAGGTAATAACAAGTCTTAAATATCTTAAATATTATAAGAAAAGTCAGAATTATCATTTTAAGAGGTCTCAAATTTGGGGATGAAAAACAGGATCACAATACAGACTAATGATTACGGAGTAGTGATTATTATTTGCTTATAATTAAAAGTCCCACATTATGCATAAAACATTATTTTTCTGGAAATTGGTGGTTAATAATAAACTGTATCCTTTTCACAGTAAGGAAAGACTAAGAACATTATTTAACCCATTAAATATAGAGATCTTACTAGTATCGGCACAATGTTTTATTGCTTTTTATTAACACATTATCTTTGGATTCTGCATTGGATTCTGTTAGACCTGTTCCTCTTTTCAATCACTTTCTCTTTCTTTCTCTCTAGACGAGTCAGTGTATGTGGTTGATGCAGGCTCTGGGCTTTCTGTTGTCCGCGCTGCCGGTGGAGGAGATCTTGAGGAACCTTCACTCTCTGATCACCCCGTACATCCAACAACTGGAGAAACTATCCGAGGAGACGGTGAGACATTAAACCCCTCGATTAACGTCCTCTCAGGCCTCCGGGTTTGTTTATCCATGTGTGGGTTTGGCCCGGTTGCGTGTGAACAGACCCTGCATCTGCGTGAGCGTGTCATAGGATGGAACATTTCTCAGCAGGAACAGATTGTCATTACTCTGGGTGCTGGAAAAGAAAACCGCAGGAGAAATCGGCTTAATGTTACTGAGAGCCCTGCATGAATTCATATGAAGTAACTGACATTTCAAACACAATATGGCCAGATAGTTGATCTATTTTTGTTGCACAAATAGAAGTTGTGCCAAAAAAATCTGAAGCAGGATCAATGTAAAAACAAATGAAACCGCAGATCAGTGGACTGGCAATAATTTTAAATATATCACATTCAAACATTTCCACTTTTACTGCCAAAGCATCCTTTTAAATGTAAAAGCACTGACTTTATTTATTCTGAAGTTCATGCATGCTAAAATTCCCCATGTTATGTAATCGCAATAAGCTTTGTGCTTTGTTACATTTGATATGAAACAAATTCAAATTCTGTCCATTTGACTACAAATTTCTACACTCTTAAATGTGGAATGACAGTTCAAGTGGCATGTGAACCGATCATCTCTTTCTGTTTACTTCTAGTTATAGCACGTAATAAACATGAGTGAACATCAGAAAGTGTTGAAAGAAACCGTACAACTTACTGAAATGTCTGATGTCTTATAATCGTTTCAATGCAAGAATGACGTCAATAAAACAGTTTGTAAACAATGTCACATAACGTAACATTTACCTCAGGAAAGCCAGAAAAAATAACCCTTGAAAGGAGCTTTTTGATAAATATATGCACTATATTACATTTTATATTTAAACTTAACCTGTTTCAGTCTTCACTAATTAATGTATGTTTGAATAAATCTATCATGAAAACAAGTTTTTATTACAGCCACCATTTAAATCATTATATTTCGATGACGAATTCATAGATTATTGAAAAGTTGGTATAAAAACTATATACAATTACAATACAACTATTATACAATACCAGCTTTTATTTGAAAAACTTTAATTTCACTTTCAGTGTTTCAGTAAAAATTCCATTTTAGTGCATTACCATTTTTTTGTACATCTTAAGATATAATGGTAGGAATAAAATGATTTAATTAGTATTGCACTCCGCTTCATATATACGGCTCAAGATGTGTAGCTTTACCTTTTCTAAGCATTTACACTCACAATTTTCATCTGGTTGAGATAAAAGCGGGTGAAAAAACCCACTGACTTGTATTGAAATTGTATCAGAATGTCACAGCAGACTCTTTTCACTTTAGTGAGCAACTAAAGCACCCTAGCAACCACCTCTTGCATGCATAACCAAAAGTCACTCACAAACATCAAAATCTAGCTTCTAAATACTATTGCATTACATGTATTTTGCATCTTATCAATATGCATGTAAAATCTAAACTGATTTCACTCCTTTTTCAAGTTCAGCCTCACATCTTGTCTCTTTCTGCATGCTGCATCTATTTTTGACTTTCGTTTTCTTATCAGAATCAGAATTAGCTTTATTCGACAGGTGTGCAAACACACGAGGAATTTGTTGTGGTTTTTTTTTTAAGGTGCTCCTGGTGCATACATACATGCATGCATACATACATACATACATACATATCTGACATGAGAACAGAAAAAATAAATTTTAAATAGTAAAACTTAACAATAAATAATGTGTATGAATCTGGAACAGTAGATTTACTGTATGTACAGATTTGTGCATTATGTACTCTATATAGAACTGTATAAATAAAGAGATATGCATATGTATTTACATAATACTTGAGAAAGAGGCAATAATTAAGGATGTAGAATGAATTACGGAAATGAATTACAGAACTTAGGTAATGATTCCTATGTTAGCTGTTTAAGCTGAAGATGGCATGGGGGAAAAAACTGTTTTTATGCTTAGATGTTCTAGTGCACAGAGATTTGTAGCGTCTGCCTGATGGGAGAAGTGCAAACAGGTTGTGTTTGCACTGTTATACCTGTCCTCCCCCTCTGGTCCTTCCCAGAAAGACATTACATCAGCCTCAGTAAACAGGCTGTGATGGGCTGCTCACACAGGGACCCCTGCTGGTCACAGACGCTATGAGGATGTGTCTGAACACTCAGATCTCATGGGTTGCCTCTGATGCTATTTTCAGAAGGCGCTGTCAGTAAAATTGCTAAAAATACCTGAAGTAAGCAGGACCTTAGTGTACAGTTCTTCACATATTCTTTATAAAACAAATGGTTCTGGCTCTGATATCTGATTAGGTGAGCCGTTTTTAATAGACAATACATGCATGCATCTCTGACGTCATATAAATTGAATTCATTAATTATTTTTTACCATTAAAGGGGTCATATGATGCGATTTCAAGTTTTCCTTTCTCTTTGGAGTGTTACAAGCTGTTTGTGAATAGATAAGATAAAAGTTAAGACTCGTCCACGCTCTCCTAAAACGCTCGTTTAAACAGGCCCCCACATGTCTACGTCACGATGTGGGAAGATTTGCATAACACCACCCAAATGTTCACGCAAAGAAAGAAGGCGTAACTTTGATTCTCGCTGTAGTATTGTTGGCACCGCCGCCATGGCATGAAGACGCTGTTGGTTTCATCGTGAAAGCGAAACTACTTTGTTTGGTCTTCCAAAAGAGGACAAAACTAGAAATCAGTGGTTAAGTTGTATTTACAACGCTGTTTCAGAACAGTTTAACCCAAATATTCAGATGTGTGCAGCGCATTTTATGGAGGACTGTTTTCTGATCCTGGGAGAGTAGCCTACAATGCCGGCTGTTCCGGTGAATTCAGTTCTCCTGTTTCCCCTTCTGCAACGCAACGCGTAAAAAGACAGTATAAGTCATTATAATCAGTAATTATGTCCCCACTGGATGCAACAACTGCCTCATTTATAATGGGTATTATTGGTTTTGTCTCGTCGCGCCGGGACACAGCATCACAGTATAGTGAGGAGCATAACATTTCCGTCAAACACTTGAGGTATTCGGCCAATCACAGCGCACTGGATAGCTGGCCAAGCAGAGCACACCTCGCTTTTCAGAACGATGAGCTTTGTAAAAATCTACGCGTTTCAGAAAGGCGGGGCATAGAGGAGAAACAATAATGTACAGTATGTGGAAAATAATGTGTTTTTTAACCTTAAACCGCATAAACACATTTCATTACACCAAATACACAAAATTATGTTCTTTTTTAGCAACATCATATGACCCCTTTAAAACTACTGAACTTTATTATATAAAAATTATTTAAATGTCATTATTTTTTAAAGTAGACATTGGAAATAAGGCTGGTGCCTTTGTTTAAGGTTTAATTGAGCGTCTCTTTCCTTTTTCCTTTTGTGCTTGTGTGTGATGTCACACAGGAAGGAAGTCAGTGTAGCGACTCGCTCTGCCTCTCCGCCAATCATTGAGCTGTTGTCATGGAGCTAACAGCAGTAATTAAACTGCTGGCCTAATGGTTGTTTAACGACTCTTTAATTACCGCTGATGTTCCCAGAAGCGCCGGCACAGAGCGTACATCCACCCCACCCGTCCTGTCCCTGCACAGCTACTATCGCTGAAATTGATAATTTTACTATAGGATTAAAGTTCATATTGTGGGATTTTTCTTGCCCGTTTGAAATGTGTTTGATGTTCTGTTTAGCTGTGCTACTTAAGTATCATTGAGATACTATTGTACTTTTTATTAATAGTTTGAATTAGTTTGTATTATTTTCTGTTTTCATTTTAAATTTAGTTAAAGATTTAGGAATTTTGCTGTGTTTTTGTCTTTTCTTTTTTTTAATAAGTCTGTATAGTTTTTATTAATTTTTATTTTAAGTTCATCAGTTTGAAAATGAGTAATGTTTCTTTGGCAACTAGAATAAAATAAGTTTAAATTTTTTTTTTAATGTATTTTATTTAAGTTAATGTTTATTTATTTGTTTGTTTGTTTTAGTTTTAGTTAACTATAATAACACTTCTATGTAGGGCTGTGCAAATAATCGAATGCGATTTTCATGCGCATCTTGTCAGTAAAGCCGGTTCTGTGATCAGTAGTAAATCTCCAGCACGTGCTTTCAGATTGAGCGGCATTTACTACACAGAGCCGTAGATCACTGACAAGCTATGCAATATCGCGTTCATAATCGGCAATGAATCACCTGCGATTTTGAATGCGATATTCTACAGCTCTTTATGCTAGAGATTTACTACTGATCACAGAACCAGCTTTACTGATGAGATACGCATTAAAATCGCATTCGATTATTTGCACAGCCCTACTTCTATGTAGATGCTCAAAGCTCTCTCTCCTGTTCAATGTGCACCAAGACAATTTATTTGAACTAATCTGCAGAAATAAGTTTTTTTGTCTTATTAAAAAGCCCCAAGTTTGCTGTTCTGTTTTTTGTTTTTTTTTCTTCTGTAGGGTCTGTAATGTCCAGTTTGGCAAAAATTGTTGTGATTTATATATTTAAATAATTATAAAGTAGTAGTAATTCATATGAATAAATACATAATTATAAAATAATAATGCTATAAATATTATTTTATTATTATTAAATTTTAAAAAATTATTACTAAAAACAATATTTATTACTATTCTAATAATACTATTTCCGTGTAAAATAAAAAAGTGAGTTTTTAAGAAAAATAACAATAATAATTTTATTTTACAGTGCAGCTGTAAAATTACAGTAATAAAATGTATCATTAAAAGTGGCATTAATTTATTTACTTTAATATTGCACTAAGCCATGTTGCGATTATATTTTGTTATTGTTCAACCCTACTTGGTCTGCCTTTGCGAACAACTGTTTGAGCTCTGCAAGTATTTTAACTTTAGCTACAGATGTCTTAAAGCTAGAGTAGCAGAAATGCTCAGTTTAATCTATGTGATTGAGAGGAAAATGGTCAAGGAGAACTAGATCTCTTGACTGAATTCATAAGTGGATTTCAGAAAAAATAAAAAATTTGTCTTTATGCTTTGAGATTGTAAAATATGGCCCCTTTAAAATGATAAGGCATATCGAATAACAATTTGACCCTGGTTTCTTTCTTCAGCCAAACCCTTCAAATAAACTGGCCATTATTCACATCCTCGGTCTGCTGTCCAATCTCTTCACCACACTGGACATCACCAAACAGGAGGAGGAGTCAGGAGAGAATGCCCCGCCCATCAAATCAGCCCCGCCCCAGACAGGCCCCAACCCTGTAAGCACCTTCCAGCTCTCCGCGGTCACTCTGAAGCAGACGTTTGCATGTGTCAGAGGTGGACTAAAGTGTGTTTGTGTGTTTTAGGTGGTGGTGGTGCTCCAGCAGGTCTTTGCACTGATACAGACGGTCCTCAGTAAATGGCTGAATGACTCGCAGGTTGTGGAGGTAAGATTAATCACAAACTCCTTATTCTGCATCATCTCCAGATTGTGCCATAGTTTCCGATGTGTCTTTTCCATACGGATGCAGGACAGATTTAATTCTGCTCTCTCTTAGGCGGTGTGTGCCATCTTTGAGAAGTCTGTGAAAACTCTCCTGCATGATTTTGCCCCCATGGTGTCTCAGCTCAGTGAGATGCTGGGGCAGATGTACAGTACCATACCGCAGGCATCTGCACTGGATTTAACACGCCAGGTATAAGACACACACAGAACAGAAGTATCTTAATATAAAGACCGTAATGTCCTGTGGGTCCTTAAAGAAGTTTGATCAAGTTTGAGGCCATAAACCGTCTGAAAAGTGTCTTAATTATCATTTTAAGACAAGTCACATTTATTTATGCAACACAGATTTTCAAAGCAGTTTCACGTTAATAAAACAGGAAAATAACAGTGTTAATGTTGTAAATGCATCAGTTATGAAACAAAGTCAGTTTGAGCTATAAAGCAGCTCTACAGAATATAATAGTGTGATTATTCTGCTCAATTTAGTTCATTGGTTCAATTCAGTTCAGTAACTGTGTCAGTGTTGTGAAGTTAATTAATTATTGTTGAATCGTTCAGTTTCGGGACGGAAGAACAGGAATCATGATATAGCCTAATGGGATTATTAAACTTCAAAAGGCTGTGATTGAATTGCGTAAATGTAATCTCTACACGTTCAAAGTCCAAATGTAATTCTGCAGGCTCGCAGTTATAGAGCAGTTCAATCTATGAATGGCACACATTTATGCCAATAGGTTGCTTATGATCAACTGTTGATGAAATATGACAATGCTTACTTGTACTGGTACTTTATGGTGGTTATTTTGTAATATGTTGTATTCATCTTTTTGAATTTCAAAATAAGAGTCCTGGTTTGTTTAAATTTAAGGTCACAAAGTTTTAAATGATGTAACAAAAGTCTGAATTATCGTTTTAGGTCTTATATTTTGGGACAGAAAAACAGGATTGCGATATAATTAAAAATCTCACATTATGCATAAAATCATTTTTCTGGATATTGTTGGTATTTTGGTTACACAATGAACTGTATCTGGCACTTAATTCAACGTGAACTCTTGTAGCTTCTCTCTGAACTGCCCCGACTAAGACTAAGAACATTATTTAACATGATACTAGTAAAAAAGAGATTTTACTAGTATCTGTGCAGTAATCTTTTTATTGCCCTTCTCTAAACACAGTATTATCGTATCAGTTTCCTCTAACTCATATCTATGGATATATAAGTATGTAAATAAATTTCATTACATATGTAAATATTTAATAAAACATATCTTGATCATTTAAACTTGTTTTATAGTTAAAATTCTCGAATTTGATTTTGAAAACTGAGAAAGCTTGAATGTTTTGTGCTGCTTCCGATGAGTTTCGTTTGATAGATTTTGTTCTCTTGCAGATGGTCCACATATTTGCCAGCGAAACAAATCATTTCCCCCCAATCAAAGCGCTGTTTGAATTGGTCACTTCTGTTACTCTGACCATCTTCCAGCAAGGTAGGCATGCTGGGAACATCTAGCTCCAGAGGATGAAGGAAATCACGTGGTTTTGATGTCTTTACTCTCACTGTTTCCAGTTGTTTGCATGTATCTGTTTTTTTTTACCCGCACACACACAAGCAGAGTTCAGAAATGGGCATGGTCTTATGAAACTGTTCTTGTTTTCTGAAATGGTGTGGTGACACTTGATCCTTGAAATTTTCACTCCATGAGTTTCACACACGCTTCGATCCAAAAGCGTTTTCACACTGGAGTTTCTGATCTGGATCCAAATGCCTTTGGTCCTGTTTACACCTGGTGTTAACAGTCATTTCAGGTGATCTGATTGATTGGCAGGTGAGTAGGTGGTGCTTCACTGTTGTCTGGAGCACATCAGGATGCATTAGCATTTATGCTCCAAATGCATCTGAATGTGAATTAAATTATTTGACCATAACACAGTTCAGACAATGTTTACATCTGTATTTACCACTCACCATTTGTGATTGGACCACCTGAGATGGATCTTAATACCCATTGTAAATGGGGTTTTTGAAGTCATATTTTTAATAATGTGATATAAATAGTGTGATTATAATGTGCACCCAACTGATGCTTTTACAATAGGCTACTCACCATTAGAGCGATACAATAATGGTTAAACTCATAATCACAATTATTTAGCTCAAAAAAATATAATCACTGTTATTAATCACAAGTGTTCTCGTTTGAGAAATTTCTTTTTACATATCCTACACAAATCAAGAGAACATCAAATCATACTCAGGGTTTATTATATCTCCTCTTGATTTATTATATCTGGCATATAATTAAACGCTACATTAAGAAAACCGGTTAAACCTTAGGAAGCTTCTTGCAAAGCTAAAACAGTGACATTCCTAATTAATTACACTAATTCCAAATTATGTTAACGTTTTTCTGTTAAAACAACAACAACAAAAAGACTTTGTAGTGTAGCCCAGAATTTGCGTAAGTGTGTTGATTCACAATCAACAACAATCGCAAACAATATAGTGGTGATTCATGGTTGGATTTATTACAGTTTGTCACCGAGAAGGTCAGCATGTATTAATATGATTATGAATGCAGCCGTATTAATGCTGTGTATGCATTCATAAATTGGGGATTTTGCTTTGCACACCTGTTAAACTTGTCTTAGGGCTTCACTCTTTTCATTCCACCACTTCCACCCACTTTTCTTGTTGACCTGAATGAAAAACATGCCTTCTTTTGCTTGATTACAGTCAGCTTGCAGATTCTTCGAGTCAAGTGAGCTTTATTGCCATTCTGCTATATGTAGAGACATACAAAGAAATCAAAAGTAATGCAGTTACTGATGTAAATCTAATGAAAGGACTTGCACTGAAAAAGATGTGATGTAGGATTTACTTTGATACAATTTGCACTCAGAAATTGTTAGTAAATTCCACAAATAATTACAAAGTAACAAGTTACACATTGAATTAAACATGAAATAGAAATACTGGAATAGTATTTTATTTTAAAACATGCTTCGATAATTTTCAATGATAACATTTTTTTTTTTATATTGTATTCATTCAGTGTGTTCCTAAACAAGATATCCTTCATCTCGTCTTATTCAGACTAAAAACACCAACTTGTTTGGCAAATAACCAAATTTTCCATTTTTGGCGGTATCGATTTTCTGGTTTGGACCAACCAGTGACAAGAAGTGTGAAAACAGCCTAAAATTGTCCTGCATGTCCACACACACACACACACACACACACACACACACACTCTCTCACATAGTTGTTCTTTGCATGTGTCCTCTAGTGCGCTTGCATCCCTCACTTCCTGTTTGTCATTCTTCACGTTCTTCTGTTTTAACCACGTCATTTCCAAATCAGCAGAAATGTGAGTGATAACACTCTTATACCGATGAGGTGACATGGCCGAGAGGACCTGCCGTGGCCTGTGTGTTTGTTTGTCATTTGTTTTCTGTGAATGGGCAGGGTTTGATGGGTGGGCGGGGTCTGGGTTTGAGGGGGCGGGGTCTTGTTTGGAGTGTGGGAACAGCAAAGGGAGGGAAGTTTGGGACTGACTGCTACCTTGCTCTTCCGGGGTGGTGGTGGGAACCAAGTGCTCACCAGCTGCGGTGGGCCAGTCGGGTGTATGAATTGAATTTACAGACAATGAAAACAAATAAAACGCACACTAAAAAGAAAGCAAGCAACACAAGTGTCATCACAGTAACAGGTGCCTCCTGGGTTCCCACTCCAAACCCACTGTTTGTTTTGTTTTTTAGGTTTCTTTTCTTTCTCTCGTTACTTCTATTTCTTTTCCTTCTTTGTTTCTCCCCTTCAGAACGGACTCATTGATCTGTCTTTTTTTTCTTTTTCTTTTAGTTTTTCGCTACTGCCTTCAAGTCGTTCATGTTCCCTCCTCTTTCTCTGCCCTACTTCTCTCACGCGTGCGATTATTTCCGTCCAGTTGACTTTTCCTTTCCACATGACTGTTCGATCTGTTTTTTTGCTGTTTGTATATATTCTTATTATTCTTATTATTTCTTAAGTTTCATCTTTATTATATTTTAGGGCCCAGGGATCATCCTGATATTGTTGATTCATTTATGCAACTCCAAGCTCAGGTGTGTTTTTGGTTTCTTATTTCATTCACTTTGGGTTTCTCTCTTCTCTTTCGCTGTCCCTTTCTTTCTCCCTTCTGTTCTGTGTCACAGGGTCTTTACAGACCCTTGTTTTGCTCGGGCAGTGGAATTGACCTGAGGGGTTTTGCTATTGGATGATTGACAACTCTTTTGTCCAATAGTCACAGAGACAACAGTCATCTCCTGTAATCCGTGTACATCTCATTCAATCCAAAGATCCTGCTCCTTGTAGCGGTTTATTACACATCAAAATCGTGTTGTATTTCACAGCATTTATTTATACAGTGGAGTTGGACTAAATTGTATGTGATAATTAAATAATGATATATATATATATATATATATATATATATATATATATATATATAAAATGAGCAGGATTTTGCACAATTGAAACCAAACTTAATGTCTTTAGACACATTGATTGTTGCTATTGCATCTAGATAAGAAGTGAGTTAAAAATTTGAGAATACTGAACATCTAAAATTTAAAGTGAAATGAAATCAAGTTTGAGTAATTTAAAATAAATTTAAGCATATAGATAAGAAATGTTTGAGATTCTATACTATTTTATGAATAGTAATTCTATACTCTATTTATTTATTTATTACATTCCTTTAAAAAGGAATTAAAGGGTTCATATGATGTTGCTAAAAAGAACATTATTTTGTGTATTTGGTGTAATGAAATGTTTATGCGGTTTAAGGTTTAAAAAACATTATTTTCCACATACTGTACATTATTGTTTCTCCTTTATGCCCTACCTTTCTGAAACCCGTCGATTTTTACAAAGCTCATCGGTCTGAAAAGCAGGTGTGCTGTGATTGGCCAGCTATCCAGTGCGTTATAATTGTCCGAACGCCTCAAGCGTGTGACAGAAATGTTACGCCCCTAACCATATTGTGATGATGCCCTGTCAGGCTGGAGCGATGATTCAAAAACATGAAAACCCATTATAAACGAGGCATTCGTTGCATCCAGTGGGGACATAATTATGGATTATAATGACTTATACTGTCTTTTTACGCGTTGCATTGCATCGCGCCGCGCCGCGTAAACATAAAACCATGTCTGCATTTGTGATCGGAGAAATGACAAACAAAAAGCCCTACTCTACACTGCCCAAAAAACTCGCTTTAAATATATAAAATATAAAAACTCTTTAAATATAAAAAACTTACTTACAGTCTGTGAGTCAGAACAGCCGGCATTGTAGTCTACTCTCCCAGGATCAGGAAACGGTCCTCCATAAAATGTGCTGCACACATCTGAATATTTGGGTTGAAGTGTTCTGGAACAGTGTTGTAAATACAACTTAACCACTGATTTCTAGTCGTGTCCATTTTTGGAAGGCCAAACAAAGTAGTTTCACTTTCACAACGAAATACAGTGTCACACACGGTGGCCTAGAGTGAGCGGCGGCGGCCTAGAGTGAGCAGAGGCGGCGGGCTTGAGAACTTGAGAACTTGACTCCGCTTCGTCCACGGTGAAAGCCGATCCGGTGATCCACAGCGCAAAGTTGTTGTATTTCCTCAGCAACCAGCACGGATCAGCTCCAGGCATGACAAAGCCGATATCGTCCTCTTTTGGAAGGCCAAACAAAATAGTTTCGCTTTCACAACAAAGCACACAGCGCCTTCACGACATGGCGGCGGCAACAACAATACTACAGCGAGAATAAAAGTTACGCCTTCTTTCTTTGCGTGAACATTTGGGCAGCGTTATGCAAATCTTCCCACATCGTGACGTAGACATGTGGGAGCGTGTTAGAACGAGCCGTTTTAGGTAGGCGTGGCTGACTCTTAACTTTTATAAAGAATATCTCTTTGGATTTGAGACTTTAATCTTCTTTATGCACCAAGAGCTTGTAACACTCCAAAGAGAAAGGAAAAATTTAAATCGCATCATATGACCCCTTTAAGGGAAGTTAACATGTTATTGTGGGAAAACTTTAAATTAAGTATGGCTAACTAATATAATTTATTTACTTTACTTCAGTACTTTACTACAGTAAAACAGTAATATTGTGAAATATAACAATTGAATTGTTTTCTGTTTGAATATATGTTAAAATGTCATTTATTCCTGTGATGTAAAGCTGAATTTTCAGCATCATTCCTCCAGTCTTCAGTGTCACATGATCCTTCAGAAATCATTCTAATATGCTGATTTGCTGCTCAAGAAATACAGTATCTCACAGAAGTGAGTACACCCCTCACATTTTTGTAAATATTTTATTATATCTTTTCATGTGACAACACTGAAGAAATGACACTTTGCTACAATGTAAAGTAGTGAGTGTACAGCTTGTATAACAGTGTAAATTTGCTGTCCCCTCAAAATAACTCAACACACAGTCATTAATGTCTAAACCGCTGGCCACAAAAGTGAGTACACCCCTAAATGAAAATGTCCAAATTGGGCCCAAAGTGTCAATATTTTGTGTGGCCACCATTATTTTCCAGCACTGCCTTAACCCTCTTGGGCATGGAGTTCACCAGAGCTTCACAGGTTGCCACTGGAGTCCTCTTCCACTCCCCCAAGACGACATCACGGAGCTGGTGGATGTTAGAGACCATGCGGGCTTTCTTGTGCATCATCTTTAGAAGAGGCTTCCTTCTGGGATGACAGCCATGCAGACCAATTTGATGCCGTGTGCGGCGTATTGTCTGAGCACTGACAGGCTGACCCCCCACCCCTTCAAACTCTGCAGCAATGCTGGCAGAACTCATTCGTCTATTTCCCAAACACAACCTCTGGATATGACGCTGAGCACGTGCACTCAACTTCTTTTCTTGGCAATCTTCTTGTAGCCTACATAATGGCTGTGTGTTTAGTTATTTTGAGGGGACAGCAAATTTACACTGTTATACAAGCTGTACACTCACTACTTTACATTGTAGCAAAGTGTCATTTCTTCAGTGTTGTCACATGAAAAGATATAATAAAATATTTACAAAAATGTGAGGGGTGTACTCATTTCTGTGAGATACTGTATGTCATACATTTTTTTTCTGATAAATAAGTTGAAAAGAACAGCATTAAAATAGAAATCACATTATAAATGTCTTTACTGAAAGTGAAAAAGTGAAAGTGACATGTGGCCAAGTATGGTGACCCATACTTGGAATTAGTGCCCTGCATTTATCCCATCCAAAGTACACACACACAGCAGTGAACACACACACACCCGGAGCAGTGGGCAACCTTTTGGGTTACGAGTCTGACTCTCTAACCATTAGGCCACAACTTCCCCAGACTGTGGTACTGTCGCTTTTGATCAATTTAATGCATCCTTGCGGAAAAAAAGTTAGGTTCAAGATCCCACAAACCCCTTTCAGTGTCATTCCAGCACAAAACCCGATGAAAGCCTAAATTAATTCATCTCAATGAATTGATTAATTGATTCAAATGAGTTGGCTCTCTCGTTTATGTCTTCTCATGAGGCTCTCATGAGGTTCTCCCTCTCTCTCGGTTTCTCTCTGTTTCTCAAATATCCTCTCATCCTCAATGAGTTTTTTAATGCATCAGTTGTCTTTATCGTATATGTTACTTAGATTTCTGTTGCATTCAGACCAACTGAGCAGAGAAAGTAGTGATCGAACAGATGCAAAACAAGTGAGAACACTAAAGAGAGAAAAATTCATCATACCTTTAGTTTCTATTGAGTTAAATTTCAGTATTTTAGTTTCTTTGGTGTTGATTTCTTACTTACCTGATTTGCATTGAATATGTACATTTGGTTGATTTTCTAGAGCTAGACAGGTGTAGGGAGTGAGTGATGGAGGGTAGGCGGGGCACAGGAGTGATTGACAGGGTTCCAGGGGCGGGGTTTGAGGCATGTGCTCTGTTCATTGACTCTGTCTGATTCGTAGGCCCTCAAACGGAAGCCCGATTTATTCTTATCGGAGAGTCTTGATGTGAAAGCCGTGTTTCACTGTGGTAAGTCTGTTTAAAATGTAGAAACCATGCATGAATGTGTGTGAATGTCTGAGCTTCTATAATATTTAAAACACCGTCATTTCTCTAATGCCGCTTTGTTTCGGCCGTAGGAGTGTTGTCACTGAAATTCCCAGAAGCCCCGACAGTCAAATCTACCTGCTTTTTCTTTGTAAGTCAGAGTTTGTCGCAACAACCTTACTTATTATTCACACCAAGAGCATAATACACTACTGGTCAAATGTTTGGAATAATTACAGTGTTTTTGAAAGACGTTTCTTCTGCTCACCAAGACTGCATTTATTTGATGAGAAATACAGAAAAAACTGTAGTATTGCCAAATATTATTACAATTTAAATGAACTGCTTTTTATTTGTATATATTTTAAAATGTAATTTATTCCAGTGATCAAAGCTGAATTTTCAGCATCATTATTCCAGTCTTCAGTGTCACATGATCCTTCAGAAATCATTCTAATATGCTGATTTGCAGCTCAATTATTATAAATTATTATTGGTGCTCAATAATTAATAATGGTTGTTATTATTAATGTTGAAAATTAACAATAACAGTTTTTGCTGCTTCATATTTTTGTGGAATCCATGATGCATCTTTTTCAGGATAATTCGATTAAAGAAACATTATAAATGCCTTTACTTTTTTGATCACTTGATTCTATTGTGTACCAAGGTGTCCACAAAACTATTAAGCAGCACAAGTGTTTTCAACATTGATGATATTAAGAAATGTTTCTTGAGCAGCAAATCAGCATATTAGGATGATTTCTGAAGGATGGTGTGACACTGAAGACTGGAGTAATGATGCTGAAAATTCAGCTTTGCATCACAGAAATCAATTACAGTTTAACAGATATTCACATAGAAAGCAGTTCTTTTTAAATTGTAATAATATTTCACAATATTAATGTTTTTACTGTATTTTTGATCAAATAAATGCAGCCTTGCTCAGCATAAGAGACTTCTTTCAAATAACTTAATTCCAAACTTTTGTAGTGAATATTGTTTTGATGGAAGACTGGACTGACCCTCAGTTTGTGTCTTGACCTTCTGTGAAATATACTTTCATAAACAGTAGTGATGTGTAATATTGAATTGTTCCTTTATTTGCGTTGACTGCAGACGGAACTAATACCGCACTGCGCAGACATTCCTCCTGTTGGTCAGATCGTGCAGGAAGATGGTAAACTCCTCCTGTTGGCTGTACTGGAGGTGAGCTTGCAACTTTTCACCAGAGGTGCACAATGTATGGTGGTTGTTGAGTAATGTAAAAAAATAAAAGAAATGCACAGAAGTCTGACTGACCTGTTCTTTCATTAGGCTATCGGCGGTCAGTCGTCCCGCAGTCTGATGGACCAGTTTGCGGAGGTGCTCTTCTGTCTGAACAAGCATTGCTTCGCTCTGCTGACGGTGTGGCTCAAAGAAGCTCTGCGCTCACCAGGCTTCCCGTCCTCGCGCGTCTCAGATGACCAGAAAGACACGTTCAGCCAACAGGTGCTCAGGTGAGATGGGTTCATGTAGACCATTCTGGATAGATTAATATTATTAGTGTTATATTTCATTTTATTATATGTACAGTATGTCTGTACTTTTTCTTTGCACTGGAAGTTCCCGTCACCAATACAAATTCCTTGTGTCTGTAAACACACTTGGCAATAAAGCCCTTTATGATTCTGATTAACAATTCAAATTTTAAAAGATTTTTCAATTATTTTCAAAGAAGTCACTTATGCTCGCCAAGGCTGCATTTATTTGATCAAAAATACAGTAAAAACAATAATAGAACTGTTGTCTATATGAATATATTTTAAACCATAATTGTATCCCTGTGATCAAAGCTGAATTCTCAGCATCATTCCGCCAGTCTTCAGTGTCACATGATCCTCCACATGCTCAGGAAACATTTGAAGACAGTTGTGCTGCTTCATATTTTTGTAGAAACCCTGATACGTCTTATTTTTCAGGATTCTTTGATGAATAGAAAGTTCAAAAAAACAACATTTATTTGAAATAGAAATCTTTTGTAGCATTGTAAATGTCTTTAATGTGTTTATTTTATTATTATATTAATATATGTGTTGATGATGTAATCGGTGTATTTTTCTCCACATCCACTCAGGGAGCGAGTGAATAAGCGCCGAGTGAAAGACATTGTAAAGGAGTTCACCCTGGTTTGCCGCGGCCTTCACGGAACTGAATACGCCGCGGACTACTGAGCCGCCGCTCAGACGGACACCGAGTGAGAGAAAACACAAAAAGTACAACTCCCAGAAGCCCTCACTGCGATGCGAATAACACCATGTCAGAACTGACCATCTGAGAGTCGGGATCTTCTCGCTCTCTCTCTCTCTTTCAACCACTCTCTCATTGGATTTTGGGGCGTCTGTAGGGCGACATCTCCGCTCTCCGCATCTCACAGCATGTTCGCTGGAAACCGTTCTTTGATTCTCCCACGATCGATCTTCCGTGGCTCTTGGGCTGTTTTCCTTGTGATGATTTGCATCCGTTTGAACGAAGAAATAGTGTTAGTTAAATGTTTTTTATTTTGAAGATACTGACATATATATATATATTGAAAATTAGCAGCATATTTGGTGACTAGTAGAGACTGGGCGTTACACAACGAATAAGAGAGAGAGCGATGCACTAATTAAAAAATTACATCATGATGTTCCTAACCTGTACATTTTTCTTTAGAAATTCTTCTTCGTGTTTCATTAAAGGAATGTTGGTAGGTACATGCACACTGATAATGGACTCCGTAAACATATGACATATATTTGACAATTTATTAAAGGAACAGTTAACCCAAAATTGCTAAATATTTACTGAAAATCTACTCCCCCTCAGGCCATCAAAGATACAGATAAGTTTGTTTCTTCATAGGAACAGATTTGGAGAAATGTAGCATTCCATCACTTGCTCAGCAATGGATGCTCTGCAGTGAATGGGTGCCATCAGAATAAGTGTCCAAACAGCTGATAAAAACATCACAATAATCCACAAGCAATCCACACCACTCCAGTCCATCAGTTAATGTCTTGTGAAGTGAAAAGCTGTGTATTTGGAAGAAACAAATCCGTCATTAAGGCATTTTTAACTTTAAACCGTTGTTTCCTCTATCCATAATATTGTTTCCTCCAGTGAAAAAGTCGTCTTATCTGAATTAGGAGAGAAATATGGACAGATCAAGCACCGTTTAAGTAAAAACAAAACAGTCAAAAATATTGTTGTGGATTATTATGGATTAAGGGCTTGTAATTTGGCCAGAAGTGGCAGTTTAATGTTAAAACATCTTAATGCTGGATTTGCTTCTTACAAACACGCAGCTTTTGTCTTCTCAAGACATTAAGTGATGGATTGGTGTGGAGTGGTGTGGATTACTTGTGGATTACTGTGATGTTTTTATCAGCTGTTTGGACTCTCATTCTGACGGCACCCATTCACTGCAGAGGATCCATTGTGATGTAATGCTACATTTCTCCACATCTGTTCTCATGAAGAAACAAACTCATCTGTATCTTTGATGGCTTGAGGGCAAGTACATTTTCAGCAGATGTTCATTTTTGGATGAACTATTGCTGTAAATACATACCACATCTCTCTCTCTCTTTTTTGTTTCCGCCCAGCTCCTTGCCGACATGTAGCATGTGTTGCGTTACATACGGGCCCAGAATGTGTCATAATCAGTGGACGAGGGCTGTTCTATCATGTTCGTTTACTAGTGAGTCACAGAGTGAGAACAAAGGGAGAGACAGAGACAAATGTACATTAGGCTTTTTTCTTTTTTGTACCTTGTTTTAATTTATTAAATACATCTGAGATGGCATCTCTGGGTTCTGTGGTCTGTTTGCATGAATGAAGGTGTGAATGTTCAAATGTTCATTACAAGACTAAACCAAACCACAAGCTCTTCAGGTGAGTATTGGAGTGTGCAATGTTCAACAAGCCCATGTTGTTGGGCTACAGAAATGTTTTTGTAATTTTTACAGCAATTGAAAGTCAGTTGCTGTATGGACTCGAACCTTAAAATCTTGACTGCAAGAAAAACTCTATTAAACGTACTATTACACTGTTATTGCACATGAAGAGATCTATTAGTTCATAATGATACATGTTGACCTTTTGTGACAACGTGTCCCAATATAGGCTTTTCTGGTAAATTAAACAGTAGAACAATAATAAGGAACAAGTAATTCATGAAACAGTAACAGTGGTGCTAAAGACAGCATACAGTAAAATTCATAAAATGAACAGATGCCCTGAAAACTGATAGAAATGCCAGTGAAAGGTAAATGCAATGCCAGTTGAATCCTATTGAATCCATGCTGTTTTATTTGATGAAGGGGAGTTACTGCAGTTCTTCATATTGACCAGCAGATGTCTCTACAGCTCTGGAGAAACTTCGAGAGTTTGTCACAGTGGGAACCAAATGAGAAAGTAGTAGTCAGGATTTTTTTTTTACATTTTTTTTTAGCTTTATGTACTCAACATGACCTTGAAGTCTTCACAGACATCAGCTTGAGATGTTATGAAACGGCTGGCTTTTCCAGTTTAATAAGGTATTTTTATTTTGCATGGCACAGTTTAATGTTAATAAATTGCATTTAAATTTAAAACATTTAAATTTAGGTTGGGATGCTATTATTTATTTATGTTGTAGTTATTTTATATTGTATTATAATTATAATTTTTCATGCGTTAGTTCATTCCTTTAAAAAGGAAACTGGAAAATGCATGGAAACAATTTTAGTAGACAACGTTATATATATAAGAATTTTATTGTTTATGCGTATGTATATGAAAGACATGGCAGCTGTTTTGTAGAATGGCCTGCTGTTTTATTTGATGAAGGGGAGTTACTGCAGTTCTTCATATTGACCAGCAGATGTCTCTACAGCTCTGGAGAAACTTCGAGAGTTTGTCACAGTGGGAACCAAATGAGAAAGTAGTAGTCAGGATTTTTTTTTTACATTTTTTTTTAGCTTTATGTACTCAACATGACCTTGAAGTCTTCACAGACATCAGCTTGAGATGTTATGAAACGGCTGGCTTTTCCAGTTTAATAAGGTATTTTTATTTGAAAGGTATGTATATGAAAGACATGGCAGCTGTTTTGTAGAATGGCCCTTGTATTGGTATTGCGATTCTGTCCAAACAGTGTTCTAAAATATTCTATTGTATTCTATTCTACACGAAGTCCAACTTGTTCCAACGTCTCTACACTGTAAAAAATGATTGTGATTTTAACAGTAAGAGACTGTAAAAATGCTACAATAAAAACCTATTAACTGGTTAACAGTAAGTTTCCATACTATATTCGGTGAATAAATGTAATTACATTTAATGTAATTTTACAGTAAAATACTGTTAAAATACAGTTTTTGGAAGTGAAAAAGAAAGATTTTGTATAATTTACAGTGAAAAAAACGTAATTTGACACTCCCAGAATTCCCTGCATGACACTTCATATTTGTTTTTTTACATACATGTTTTTTTGTTGAGTTAACATGTTTCTTCTTAGTTTTTTTGTTATCAGTTGTGTACATTAGGGTTTAATCTTACATCTAATGTTGTTAAATGAATGATTATTGCATTATTTCAGTAGCATGTGTGTCACCATGATGGGGTTTAGTGTTTGTGTGAGTGACACTGTGCAACTTCTATATATAAGTATTGTCCTCAGCTCGCAGACAAGCTGTTTGTGATGAGCTTTGGTTCATCATGTGACTTTCTCCTCACCACCAGTTTTTGGTGGTTATCATTGCATTACAATGATTCAAAACAGATATTAACACTTCAGTATGTTGGTTTATTAACATTACATCAGTTAATGAAATACAGTATTTTATTGTGAATTTAAGTTAAGTCTGTAAAACCTAAAATGTTGCTACCATATTTTTTACAGTGACGTTCTGGCAACCACAGCTGCCGGTATTTTACCGTAAATGTCAGATTTGTTTTTACAGTGTAGGTTATCTTGTCGTTTCCCTTATTTTCAGTGTAATTTGGTATTTTCAGTACGATCGCAGTCGTTTATCACTGTGTAAAATAATTATTTTAAACAATGCATTAAAACAATGACCTATTGACACTGTTAAATAGAATATAACACCTGTATGTCTGATTTAAACACTGCGTGACGTACAGAAAAGTTGAAGTACAGGGAAGTTGTGGCCTAATGGTTAGAGAGTCGGACTCGTAACCCAAAGGTTGCAGGTTGGAGTCTCGTACGGGCAGGGATTGTAGGTGGGGGGAGTGAATGTACAGCGCTCTCTCCCACCTTCAATACCACGACTGAGGTGCCCTTGAGCAAGGCACCGAACCCCCAACTGCTCCCCGGGCGCCGCAGCATAAATGGCTGCCCACTGCTCCGGGTGTGTGTTCACGGTGTGTGTGTTCACTGCTGTGTGTGTGCACTTAGGATGGGATAAATGCAGAGCACTAATTCTGAGTATGGGTCACCATACTTGGCCACATGTCACTTAACTTTTTTCACTTTTAGAACAGGATCTCTGGGTTTGGTCCAATTATAGTTTATTTGCTAGTAGGCTATTAGCAGAGATTGCAGTTTATGAAATAATACTCCAACTGAAACTTTAAAATTGAGCACAAATTAGTAATCACACGGGATGGGAACAACCTGACGGTGTACTGGTGTACTGTTCCTTTAAGATTAAAGAGTTTAGATTTTTTTTATCTTTTACTTTTGTGTTTGATATTCTGAAATACTTTATTAAATATTTTGTTTATATAAACTTTAACACTACAGTGTATTGGCTGTATCATCAAAGATTTAATGATTTGAATCGAATCATCAGTGAGCATGAAATTCAGGGACTTTGAGACCAGGGGGAATTCTGCTTCTCTCTCTCTCAGGTCTTCTCTGGTGTTCTTCTCTCTCTCTCTCTCTCTCTCTCTCTCAGGTCTTCTCTGGTGTTCTTCTGACTCTCTCTCTCTCTCTCTCTCTCTCTCTCTCTCTCTCTCTGGTCTTCTCTGGTGTTCTTCTCTCTCTCTCTCTCTCTCTCTCTCTCTCTCTCTCTCTCTCTGGTCTTCTCTGGTGTTCTTCTCTCTCTCTCTCTCTCTCTCTCTCTCT